ACTGGATAACCTATGCTGCTTGTATTATAGCATTTGAACATATAGAGAAACACAGAAACACCGTTAACTATACGTGCTTGATATTCGCATACAAATAATTCGGATTCACTCGAAGAGAATTCGAAGCAAGGGGCGTGCCTTACTTTAAACTGCCACGAACATAGCTCAAGAAGAGTAGGGAAATATAAATATATGTCGAGGAGATTTTGATCATGTCCTCTGTTCTCACTTTAAGGGAAAACGATAAAGCAAGATCATGAGGAAAATTGCTTACCCACTAGACCTTAAGTGACGTGGAATATTAGGCAAGGAAATGTTGCCAGGTGTGAACTTTTTTTTATTCTTCTTAATAGTTTATTTCATAGTATTGTCACATGTAGGGTGGTACGCGTGACGAAAATAACTGACTCTGGTTCAGATGATTGGATTTATTAGCACTTTGGTTACACACACTCTCTCTCTTAATTACAATTAATACAGCGCTATCGCTGATTTACGCAATTTACAATTCATCTTTGCACACGAACTAGGATTCTCCGTCTTCAGTAGTCATCTCCTTGCAACGGATCTCAACATAGAAACTAACGTTTCAAATCACTATGAACTCCTCTTGTTACTTCGTCTGAAATAACTCTTTACTCCTCTGTCCTAATCTATATTCAGTTAATCTTCACAATTCACTAAGAACACTCTCCATTCTCGTCCTTGTAATCTGTACTGCTGAACCCTCGTTGACTCTTCACTAATCAAAGCTATAACAGGTCTTCGTTTTATAGGCCCCGCACGGACAAGTCAGAAAATAGGTCACTTGTTAGCTATCTCGCCTGTCCATTGGCGCGCTGACTATTGCCTATCAACGAGCTATAAACATTCGTCCTATTGTTGCGTGCGCGTATAGAAGGGTTTTCATCGAGCCGTTGCCTGGTAACTTGTCACAATCTTATCAGTATCTAGAGTATATAGCTCCGAATGGTAGGATGGCTAGTGAACAGTGATTTGGAAAGGATCTGAAAGGAGGCCGTGGCTACCTACTTGAAGTTCCATCCTAGTAGTGTCCAGACTTTCATTCAAGGCAGTCAGTATCGTGGCCAGGATTCGAATCCATCACCTACAAAATGCAAGACCAAAGTTTTGCAGTTATGCCATCCTTCTCGATACTTTTCACGCAGTGACACGCACCACGCAGGACGCAACCCACGGTACCCATGCTATACAACTTACGCAGAATATTGTATGGCTCTTGCGGTGATGGACTGATATAATGCGATTTGGTTTGAAGTGTCTCCGGACATTTTTTTTTCCTTGGCACTACAGCCCCAGTGGGCCTAGGCCTACCTCCATGAACTTCTCAGTTCACTTCGGTTTTTCTAGATCTTACACATTCGGTAGGACTCCTTGGGCGGGTGATCAGCTCGTCGCAAGGCCTCCTCCTGTACACAGACACAGAAAAACGCACACAAATATCCATGCCCTGAGTGGAATTCTAACACACGATCCCGGTTTCCAAGCGAGCGAAGACAGTGCATGCCTTAGACCGCTCGGCTACCGTGACCGGCTCCTCCGGACATTTAGTGGGTTTAATTATTAATGGTTATGGACTTTCTGGATTCAGAATAAGAAGGGGCTCATTGAATAGCTAATCGTTTATCTGTTTCTTTTTTCAATGGCTCTTCCAGCCCATTTAGGGCCCAGGCCTTTTCTTAGGTTCCTTAATCATTCTTCTTGGGCGAGTGATCAGCCAGTCGCAATGCCGCTACCTAAACACAGGACAGAATAAACGCATACACACACACAAAATCCATGCTCTGAGTGGGATCCGAACCAACGATCCCAGCGTCCGAGCGAGCGAAAACAGTTCATGCCTTAGACCGCGCGGCTACTGCGACCGGCGAGCTTGTACCTGTATCTACTTCTCAAGCAACAGTTTATGTCAGGGTGTTAGTTTTTGCAGCTAGACGCTTTGGTTTTATTATCAGCCTTTCAGTAAACCCCGTAGCTGATGTACGGGACATAACCATAAAGATTCTACACACTGGTCGTGAGCTACTGCACTTATTCACAGTATATCAGGGTGTCTCTGCTTTCGGTGGGAGGCCGCCTGGCTTGTACCAGCAGCGCTTCATTAGACATGCTGGCTGAATAATTTAAGATTTGACTTGGCTGTGAGATATGTGGTCGTTGCTGGCGGCTGCGGCCTGAAGCTAGCACCAAGGGTGGTCAAAAGTGGGCAATGAGGAACGTGGGGCGCTGTGAATCACATTTCGGGATTTATTGAAACATCGACTTTTAAGAATCTCTGAATGTTACGAAACCAAGGGAATGAAGAGGATTGCTGTTTGCTGTTCTTCCACTTCACTTCACTTCACTTCGTGCTACTGAACTTCACTTCACTTCGCTTTACTTCACAGGGTAATCAGTGATATACGGAATGCATCTACAGCTATTTCACATTAGGAATTTGTACTTATTGATGATCAGATGAATAGCATCGAACATGTTCTAAAAATCATCCAACTGCAGCTATTTTCAATGATACATACATATATTAAAGCTTATAAACAGACCCGGAACATCTGTTGAAATACGATACCTACCTACCACTCGGCGCTACAGCCCTCGGTGAGCCTTGGCCTCCTCTACAACCAGTCTCCACAACCAATGCGTGCTGCCATAGGAATGGACCCACGCATGATGACCCGAGGCTGGTTGTTAGGTTTCTGAACATAATTCCTTTTACAGAATGAGGTTAGCCTCATGCCTAACCCCAACCTGGAGGACCATGTTATCTCTCTTAGTCTGGACTCTACCCTTTGACATTTCCGGTAAGGATGACCCTACCAGTAGTTAAACTACCGCCGGCATATCTCTCCAGGTCACAGAGTCACGCAAGTCCCACGGCCACGACAAGGTGGAGACACTTTTGGGGGGGTTGAAATATTAAATAAGTCAAAATACTCCGTGTATCTTGCAAACCTAATGCTTCGAAGTTTATCTATTTCATTGTCCTTCTAAGTTTCATTGTTTATGTACTACGAGTACAAACATACATTATGAAATACGTGGCTGCTGTTGACATTGTGAGAATACAATTGTACTACTTGCCACAATGCTGAACTCTTAATGAAATTGTCTCTCAGTTCAGGACGCCATTTCGCCTGTAAGTTGGGCCATAATTTAAACAATCGACCTGACATTTTATCCACTTCTTCTTTCCCTTCGCCTGTCCATATGAACCGTTCTGAACAAGAATTATACGGCGACACGCCTCGACGGCAATATCGTCGTCATCAGACCAAGTTTAGCATTTAAGAAACACAGAAAGTAAGAGATATAATCGTAAAGTAACTTCCGTTATAACACTTCATGTACTAAAGCGGTCTGATATTGTGGCCGAAACATGTCACCATATAATAATTTCTTCAGAGCAGTTGAAAGGAATACATGAGACACAACAATTACGCAATTAGAATTAACATTTTATTTTTGAAACCTTATGATTAATCGTATTTAGCTCTGGATAAAATTGAAAACAGAGCATGTCTTATGCAGTTTCTTGGTAGCAGTTTCACGAAGGGAAAAGTACTGGGCTCTATCACATAAAATATTCAGCTTGTATACTTTAACATAAATCTTACACGACAGATTCTGAAGAGGCGGAGTGAAATGGAAACTACAATGATTTAAACGAAGCAAATTTGATAGTACTTGCTCGACCAAGAAGAATATTGTTTTCATAAAGTTTCCATCGATTTTAGCGTCATTTCACAAATTGTAAATATATTATCTTTTCTTCAGACAGAGAAATGCGAGGGACATAAACACAAAGAGGTTTACTCAGAATTACTGGGTTTTCAGAATTTGTCCATCCTCCGGTATTCTAAAAACTAGAAAACACGATGTTTCGGAAACTGGATCTATATCCTTCCTCCGGTGAGGGTGAGACACCTACTCAGTTGGGCCCCTTAGAGAGAGCTGACCTCAATCACTCAGTCTAAGGGACTCAACAGAGTAGGTGTCTCACTCTTCACCTGAGGACAGAAACAGATATAGTTTCCTAAACGTCGTGTTTTCTAGTTTTCAGAATACTGGAGGATGGACAAAGTCAGAATACCCAGTAATTCTGAGTATTGTTCACCATCGCCAGAACCCTTCAGAATATACAAAGACTTTTAATTCTTCATTACATGAGAGATAACCTCTCGATAGTAAATATAAGTTTCTTAAAGGGCGTAACAGGGGCAGGCGGTAGCGTAGGTGTTGAGACACTATGCTACAAGATGGAAGGTCGGGGGTTCGAATCCCGATGAGGTCATTGTTTATTTCAGTTGACCCAATCCTTCCAGCCGAGCTATGGTCCTGGGGTGGACTCAGCCTCCAACAGAAATGAGTACCAGAAATCTTCCTTAGGAGTAAAGGGCGGCCGGCGGGTAAGGCTGAAAAACTCACCACCATCTGTAAGTCGATCGTCTATAAAATGTGGGAGCCTCGACGCCTCATAGCGCTATAGGCCTCAACGGCAGTTAGAGTGATAATTTTACCTTTCTTGTAAGGGCGTAACATTGTTGTAGTTTATGAAGACATGTAGTATTTTTTTGGAGTTCTTGTGAGTTGAATTTAATAGCATGTACCCTTCAATGCTGATAGCGTACCCTTATAAATATAACTCGGCTACAAGATGCTAAGAAGACATCCTCAAGTACGAGGATGCACGTATGTTTGGGTGGAGTTACTAAGACGCCTACTGCTTTAAGCAGTATTACCATTTCCTAAATTCTTAATTTAATCGCATATTCCAATGTAAATATTTTTATTATCTTAAGGGCTAAGATGTTATGAAAGGGGAAAAATAATAATATAGTCCATAAATATATCATGAGCTGTCATTATTGCTGTTTATTACTATTGTTCTGTGAATGTTTTGAATTACTTTTTCTGTGTTTAGGTTTTTGTGTCATAAGAAATAACTTAAATAAGTTATAATCGTAACAGGTAAAGCTTACCTTGTAGAAATTTGAAGATCTCACAGCGGTGGTTCTGGGATGTACCTCCGTGAAGTCAGTTGAATTTCAACCTACGTTTGGAAAGAACATGTCTTCTTCAGCATAGGGCAGCGAGCAGAATTCTGTTCGGTGCCTGCTTCATTCTGGTGTCTTTTTCGACTTACTCTTTAACCATGAAGATGGAGGCGACACAATTCTATGAAAAATCGATTTAATTTCAACGTACTATTTGGCGTTATATTCCAGAAAACAGAACTTTTCAAAGCTTACATTTGTCGGTTAATTCTTAACATATAATAAGTGATTTAAATCTTTCTTCTAAATCCATTTTAATATATCCCAGTTTATGATAACAGAATTATTTATAAACCTGTAGTCATCCAAAATCAATTATTCGTTATTTCATATTTTTAGATGCCTTATGAAGAGGAAATTTCAGGAAAAGCGCTGTATGCTTAAGGTGTGTTGATGATTCTGATACTGAAGCACTTACCTCTTAAAAAAACAAAATAAATTACCTTTAATTTTTACTGAGATCAGTATTAATGCAGAAGATGCAGGGGGAACTGGCCTCATCAAAATGTGAGCCTATATATCTGTGACGGAAAGCGACACGCTGCTTTCAAACTATAACGAAACACTCAGGTTTCCTCCCTTTTTGTTTTCAGCCCTAAAATAGATTACATAGCAAAATATGTCACTATAAACAGTGCCTCAAGACACAGATCTGTTTGTTTACTTGCGTAACACTATAAACAAAATGTTATGCATTCATTAATTTGTTTCTAAAGCATATTTTAGTTATGTTTTGTGCTGGAATTTCTGCAATTATGTATGCATGCTTAAGCAGAACAAGAGACATACATATTTTCTAAAATCTCCTCGAAATATACATATATTGTTCTTCAGTATCATGGCGTAAAAGTCTGCAACCTCAAGGTTACATGCTGCTGTTTTATAATAATAAATACAGACCGAACAAAAAACAACGTAACCTTCACCGCCATAATTATTATTAATCTGTTAAAAGATATTTCATTTTCTGTGTCAAGGTTGGCTCAAATTATTATGCCCATGAAACGAAGAAACGAGTCGTCTGAAACAGAGGATAAATATCTATTTAAAGGAATTTTATGTTACAATGGAATACAGTTATTAATTTGACACACATTTTTCAGGCACAAAAATTCACTTACTATAGTTAAGACTCCTGGAAGTGAAATTCACTTCTTTTTGTATGAATGTAAGAACTGTATGCTTATATCATAACGACACCATTAGCAACAAATTCATGTGTTATTTAATGACGCTGTACCAGTTATAAGAAGAGAAGTTAATATGCTAAGGGACACCAATTTTAATTTTCGGACAGGACCGCGTAGATTCTTCATCTACATCTGGTGTTTCGGCACAAATTTCAGTTGCCATCATCAGTAAGAGTAACTGTAACTTTCGTGGAGATGCTGGACACGAAACCCGATAAAATCTGCGAAACTAACTTTAGAGACTAGGAGTAAGAATTTTGTCCAATTCTCAAAACTGAGGACATATTTAGAATCTATAATTGTATATAATACAATGTTGTAATTTTTGCTTTATTTTAATGCAATTTCTCCCAACTAAATTGAGGGCAAACGCACTGTACGTGGTACAACGAAATATGATTCGACAGCCCTGTCCACATGACAACTTTTCATTTCCAGCGAATTCTACTTTTGATCATAAATCCAACTCCGAAAGGAAATATAAGTAAAATGTAAAATATTTCTATTAATTTACATAATATTTATCAAAGTTGTAGTAAAACAGCTTCCATGTACATTAACAGCTATCCAGTTCGTCGGTTTTTGTGTGAAGAAAGATTTTTATTATATACGTGTATAAAGACATAAAAAAGACAGCCAAGCTCTTGTTGAAAACGGGACTACTGTACACAAATAGATTTTGTACTATTAGTGCCTACTAATTTTCTATGGAATAATGTCTCCCTTTTCCCAAAATCCATTCTCTTCCTTTCCCCAGTATTTATAATTCAGATCGTGTCCGCCGATGTCTCCTAACTTCATTATGGGTATAAACATGACAGACACCAACTGATCGATTCACTTGTACGTTCGTAGCAGCACAACAAGTTGTTAGCATTTTAAGTCTCCGTTGTCAACCATAGCAAGAGGGTACTCTAGCGAAATTGCTGGGAAGGGGGCAATTGAGAGTAGCGTGCTTAAATTTACATGGGTACATCCGCCTGTCTTATCACTGACAAGGATATATCTATTATTAAGTCAATTCTCGGAATAATGGACACTATTAAGTTGTCTTGCGACAGGCGAAGTACCTCGGCTTAATGAGGATAACTAATGAGACACTGCAACTTGACTTTTTAAAGGCAGTTAGTGCCACTTTCCCAAGAACAACAGGAACAGAAACTTCTGCTACTACTAATATTGTTAACACTACTACAACTATCACTAACACCGTTATATAGTACTGGCAGTAGTGCAGTTGAAATATTAATATGGAGTATTATAAATGATTTGGTTGGTAAGGTATTAAAAATAATATCAACAACGACGTTGAAACCCCCCCTTGCGAGGTGTAATAAGATTTTTTAAAAAATATTTTAATAGAATTTTTTTGGTTTAAATTAAGTGAACTACAGCATGTGTTATTTTAACACAAGCCAATTGACTACGATTATGACGTTTTCAATCATGAAGCTTGTAGTCGCATATGTGACGAATGGATAATATTATTGCAGTGTAGCAGTTTTAGCATAGTAAGACACCTGAAGATGACCATTTATAGTCGAAACATGTGTCGAAAGTGAAAGTTTAAGGAAGAAGGGACGATTTTTTGCCTTGCTGACGTACTGTGTAGTACAACAAACAGTTTTAGACATAGTAATGCAACAGGATGCTTGTATATTCAAACTTAGGGGGTGTACATCCCTGAGTCGTAATCGACGTGTAGTTGGCAGAAAGGGTCAAACGACAGTGCGTACTACATTTGGAGTCTTGCAAAATACCAAGGGCTGTCAGTGACCCAGTGGTCTCTCACTTGTTACAGAAATCCCGCTTGCTGTATCTGATTATATGCAGACGTTCCAACGAACCCCGCTTTTAAAGCAGAGCTAAAGTCAGTAGAGGAAGAGTGGTTCATGTAACATTACAGTCTTCCATGTTATACAATTATCATATTGCTCCAAGTAAGAAACTTGGAAATTTCACAATTGTAGGTGATGTATTAAAAAACCGAAGTTAACGGCCGTGGGGATCCGTTGCGCTGATCACGCGACACCCTCTATCCGCTAAAGTTGGCACTAACTTCGCCGATAGGCGGCGGTCGCTCGGTCGGTATAGTTCGCTCGCGGATTAAAGCCACGGAGTTTCTTCTTTGATAAGTTGCACGCATGATTTTCGAATTCTGTGGCCATTCACACTGAAAATACTCTCAGTCGTGTTCACACGAACATACTGTCCCGTGTATTAATGATTATAGACGAGTATGATTTTTAGATGCTGAAACACAATACAGTATTATAGACGGGGCTTGGGTTGGTGAATAGATTTATTGGCCACTTACAGGTCGTAACTTCAAATAACTATAACACTATTGCTAATTTCCACACTACAAATCGCTCCACACAGTCTTCTCAATCTATTCCTACTACTCTTAACTATCCGTTTCCTGGCAACGGATTTATAACACAGGAACTATGAAAGTCTCACTAAATTACACATTCCCAATATCGATATACTACAGCACATGTAACGTCTTCTCACTCTGTTTCCACTAGTCTTTGCTTGGTAACCACTCTCCACTATGGCTAGTCTTCTGCAGCATTTCCACTAGACGTTCCCTGGCAAAGAATCTTAAAGGAGATTTTCCAGCTTCCGTTGCCCTATCCTTAACACTCCAAAATTGAACCCTTAACTGCCCTGCACCGCCAGTTGTCTTCAAGAAACCCCACGGCCTGGACCACGCAGAAAACACAGCCTCTACTGTTGAACCGTGTCAAGTCAAGTCAAAGTCATGTTGCGACTGACGGTCAGTCAGTCTGTCTTTCTTGCTGTCGAGCCCCGGCTGGGGCTAATGACCAGATGTTACTTTTTAAGTGAAAGTTACTGTCCTGTCCATGTTGGACGCCCTCTCTGACGAGAGGTCGGGTCTGCCCATTGCATATCAACGGTCGCTGCGCGAACCACATAGAAAACACAGCCTCTCTGTTGTTGAGGTGTGTTTACTACGGGCACATGTTTACATAGCCGTTGCATAGAGAGGTGTTGCTTAACCACAATGATCTATCGTTGCGTGTTTTACATAGCAACGGCCACTGTTTGCAGAGTCACCACTTAGCAAGAGGTGTTTTCCTACGTAAGGCAGCAGACCCTTTTTCAGTCGTGGTGTGCAAGGACACATAACCTTACCCTTACCTATATGTTGTCCAGTAGCCTGTCCTCTGAATCAGTCAGAATACGTACACGCACCAGATGTTCACACCAAAACGTTCATGATTGGTGAACAAACTTAAAAACAAAAATCTAATAATTCCTGTTCTACATAACGCTGATTCTGATAGTTCGGCAACAAGTGGCACACAGTATCTCTATTAGTTTATTTAGACTGCAGTCTTCTTCGTTTTGAACGGTCCAGTTAGTACGCGGATACCAACATTTTGGAGGAATGTAAATACTGACTCCTTCTTCAGGGTGAAAATGTGTAAGATGCGGAATCGGTTGGGATAAAGAAGCAGATTGTAAGGGTTGTAGTCACTCAGTTTCTTGGGTGAACAAGAAAATGACTTAAATAAAATAATCGATTTCTCGCACGTCGACTCTCAAGATGGTGGCAATTAAGTTCCACCCAAAAGTTGACATTCTTCTGCAGGACTTCATGATTTCATAACACTGTAGACTACAATCTGCATAATATCATGGCCACAAAATATTCAAAATTTATATTTTAACATATTTTCCAGTTTGGCACTGGGCAAAATCTTTGAAGTTATCAAACATCCTAGTTGTTAAGCCAATATTTCAATATTAACGTATTAATTTTGTATTTTCTCTTCCTTCTTCACATTAATAAAATCAGATCAGCCTGTTGGTTACATTATGATGCAATTTTGACAGTCATATTTACTTGCGAGTGTGAAATGCAAGAGATTCCTGTGGCACGACAAAGCATACGACTTCC